TGGAAGGTCTGGAACACCAGTAGACTCTCCCCAGGTCCTACCCGACTTGCTCATCAGCGGATGAGCAATGTTCACCTTGAGGAGGGTTTGGGGGGATTTGTGGGGCTTTTCCCGTCACGTACCCCCAAGGGAATCACAGCCATTGGCTGTTGGTGGTACCCAAGCTGGGGGAGAAGCGTCCAGCGCCGTCTTTATCCGTCACACTAATCTTAGGGAAGATCAGCCCAGGGAGAGAGTCTGAGCTCTCAGAGGGAGTAGATACTGGGAAAGGACGTGATCCAGCCCTGCCCTCAGTGGAAGGGTGATGGAGATAGGAGGACACTCCAGGACAGCTCAAAGATAGCAAAGTAAACATCCTCTCCCCTCCTCTGGGAGCATGTAGAGCCTGGGGTAATAGAACGAGATATGGTCAGTCTGCCTCTGAAGACCTGATACAGGTTGAGAGAGACAGAGAGAGAGTTTGGGGGGAAGGAGGGAGAGAGGGAGAGAAAGAGAGGAAAAGGGAAAGAGGGGGGAGAGAGGGCGAGGGGGGAGGGGAAGGGAGGGGGAAGGAGAAGGGGAGGGGAGGGTGGGGGGAGGGGAGGGGAGGAAGTAAGAAGTGTGGCAGGCAGTGGGGCTCAGGCCAGGTGGGGGCTGGGGCTGGAGGCGGGATTACGAGTTGGCTGAGCCGAGAAGCGCGTTCAGGCAGGTCGGACAGGGAGGGGCCTTGGGCTTCAAGTGGCATCCAAGTGGGAGAGGGGGAGGGGCACAGACCAGGGGGTGTCCGCAGGGACCGAGGGGCAGAGACAGGCAGGAAGTGGAACCTGTCCTGAGCTGAAGGAACCCAGCCCCAAGACTGAAGCGATTCTCCCAAAAATGTGTGAGAAACTCCTCTGCTGGGAGGGTGGCCCCTCAGCTTCGGGACAGCTGGGTGGGGACCCCTCAGCAGGGACTGCGCACCTGGGAGGGGCTGTCGAGGTCCCCGCTCCAGGGGTTGCCCCAGTGGGCACCGTGCCCAGAGGGCAGCAGACGCGGGCCTGCGTGCTAGTGGGTAGACAAGAAAGGGCACAGGAGGGCACGCCCCGCCCGGTCCAGGGAGGTGGCCCTGAGGATCCTGGCAGCCGGTCCCCAGGCCTGACTCTGGGACCCTGCTGAGCTTGTGTTTCTGGTGCTTCCTGTTATTATTATTAGTAACCCTATTACTAATGAAGATTGTTGTCAATATTAATACCCGCGTGTGGATTCCGGAGCTCAGAGGCAAGGCCTGGCTCTCCTCCCACTTCCCTATTGGCTGCTTTCTGGGCTCCCTACCTCCTCCCCCACAGGGTAAGTCGCCTCCAGGTTCAATCCCAAGGCTTCATTCATTCCGTCCCCCTCCCCGTGTTGGGCCCGCCACTGACCCAGCCCCCACGCCCTCTGGCCCAGGGCAGGCGGGGAGGCTGCAAAGCCCCAGCGGTGTGCCAGGCTCCGTAATAAGCACTCCCACAAAATAGCCCTATGACTAGTCCATTTTACAGATGAAGAAGCTGAGGACTGGGGGCTTATTAAACACCAGGAGTAAATGGGAAATCGCTGATCGCTCCAGAGGGGCCGGGTGGGTGCAGAGCAGGGCTTTCCTGGCGGGGAGGGGGTTCCGGGGAGGGGGGGTTCCGGGGAGCGGGGTTTCCCGGGGAAGCACAGGGACAAGGCCAAAGTTAGAACCAGTCCCCGGCCTCCAGACAGTGATTGTGTAATTCTCAAAACCCCTTGGCTTCCGGGGAGGCAGGAGAAACAAGGAACCCCTCCCCAGAGTCACCCCGGGGTCTGCGGGTCTGGAGCAATGGAAATGTCATCGGGCAGCAGGACGTGGCTAGTTGAACGGCAGCCCAGAGAAGAAGATTCACTGGGATTCCGTGCCTCTGGGGTCTTGAGAATGGGGGCTTAAGAGAGGGTGACTGCAGCACGACTTCCTGAAACCTGCGGAGAGACTCAGGAGGAACTGGGTCAGGAGGGACTCGGCGTCTCGTGAAGAGACGTCATATTCATGGAAATTCCGTGGATGCCAAGCTAGGGATCTGGTGGTGACCAGGGACGCACAAGTTATCTAATGTTCCGGTGAGCAGAGGATTCGACCCCGGCAAGGCTGGGGTGGGACACCGAAGGCAGCGCTAGGAAGCAGAGCGGAGACAGCCGGCTTCGTGTTGCTGGTGTCTCCACGGAAAAGCACAGAACACCCGGGACCAGACTTGAGACTCCCTCTCCCGCGTTTGGATGGCCCCCTTACAATGTACAAGCCCCCCCCCCCCGCCCCGTTCAACACGGCCATTGTTAAAAATTAACTTCCAGAAATTTACAAATAAATTGCATCCAGACAAGAGAGGTAGGTACTCAAAAAACGCCTCACTTCCGAATTATTTCACTGAAGTTCACTACTGCCTCCGTGGTGGGGGTCATTTACCTCCACGGCACCTGTCTCGTGGAACGAGCGTCCTGCATGCTGCTCCCACTCGACGTGGGGACAGCTGGAAATCAGCCGCACGGGGGGACGCGCGCATCTCAGAAAGGCCAGATGTTACCAGTCAGGGCGTCCCTGCCCCTGTCCCTCCCTCCACTCCCAAAGCCACTGTTAAACATTCACCGCAAGTGTTTTCTCCCCCCCCACCCCCGCACCCCAGCGGTGAGCCCACAGGTACCCGCTGAGAGCCCGCCTCTAGGCACTTCCCGGCGTGCACTGAGTCACCCTCTTGGAAGTTGTTTCCAGAACCTCTCTAAAATCTCTTACTGCTTTTTAATAAGCTTTCCTTGCCAGGGCCTCTCACTGTTCTCACCCTCCAAGGAAGGCTGTCTGAGCACAGCTCCCTGGTTCCTGGAATGAAGAAGATGATGTCACTCAACACAACCCCCGCAGCCAGCTGTCCATCCCTCGCCACCTTGCAGGAGGCTGAGCTGGAGGCTCCTCGGACTGGGAGGGCCCTCCCCAGTCATCCCGTTCAGTCCCCTGCCTTCGGGCCAGAGTGTGCCAGGCCCCGTCCCTGCCAAGGACCTAACTCTCTAGCTGCTACAGATGCTCGTGAATGTGTCCAAGCAAACAAGGGGATGAATTCGGTTCCTGCGGTTCTCTGTTCCTCTCACCATTCAATGCCCTTCTCCCCTGTAACCCTGCCCCCACCCCAAAGCATTTGTCCCTGGTTCCTTCGGTCCCACTGTCTCTCCTTTCTCTTCCCACGCTCTAGCAAGGCAGAGCCTCCAACGCCAGCACCCTTTTGTGCATATCCCAGACAACCGGAAGGGCTTCCTAAGCGGCGTGTGGCCGCGCAGGGTTGCAGGGCTTCTTCGGTTCAGAGACTTGAAACCCAGGTGCTTTGAGGTGCACCCGTACCCCACACTTCGTGCGGTGGGTCGCAGGGTAGGAGCGGGGAGGGTTAGGAAGCCTCCAGGGGAGAAGAGGCAAACAGACGGAAATGCCCGGGCTCTCGACAGGCAGGTGGCTAGGCAGAGGCAGGCAGAACTATGCTCTTCAGAAGACCCTCCAACCCCCTAGGCCAGACACACTTCTGCTAGTGACTGCTGCAGCCATTGTGGGGGTGGGGGGTGGGGGGACAACCACCTGGTCCCCTGGAGGCAGCCGAGAACTGAACATATGATGCTTAGGGCTCCCTGAGGGCAGAACTGGGACCCAGGGATAAAAGCTCTGGGAATAAAAATTGGGCCCCTGCAGTAGCAATATCTCTCGGACAGAGATCAAATGGACCGCTTTGGGAGGCAGTAAGATGCCATTGGAGGTATTCAAGGGGCTGGAACATCCTTGGTCAGAAATGCCGGGGAAGGAATTCAGGTATCAGAGAACCGGCCTGAGGTCCTAGAGTCCAACATGCCTGGATCGACACCTTGGTTATTACCTTTGTGGCCTTGGTCAAGATAGCTACTTCCTCAAGCCTCTGTTTCTTCATCTGCCCAATGGGATAGTGCACGACTTCATGGGACTAAAGCAAGGATTGAAGAAGACAAAACAAAAACAAAAACAAAAAAAAAAAAAAAACGGGCAAGCGCCTGGCACCTAATGGGCACGCAATACACGCCCACCCCCTTTCCTTTCAAGCAGGCGTGGGGGGTGGGGTGGGGGGAGTCGCTACATGCGATGCTGTGCAAGGTCTGCTAGCCCCAAAGTATGGCTCTGAAATCCTTCCCGGTGGGTGGTACAGAAGGAAGGCATACAGCCTGGAGAGAGAAGGAAGTCCGCCGCCTGCTTCAGGAATGAGAGGGGAAAGCAGGGCTCCGGGCCTACCAGGCGGTTCCCCGTCCGCAGGGTGACGGAGGGGGGTTGGCAGCCCCTCCCAGCCCGACCGTCGGAGGTGGGAGGGAGGGACCGGGGGGGAGGGGCAGCAGCCTCCCGCCCGCGCCCCCGCCCGCGCGCCGCCCCTCCGTGGAACCACAGCCACCACAATCTCGGGTCTTAACAGTCGCTTTATTGTGCTAACACCGCCGCTCGGGAGCTCAGACCTGACACGCAACCATCCAGTCCGGACCCGCACCCACTGCCGGCCCCGGGGCCCTCCGCCTCGCCTGGGGACGCCGGGCCCCCGGCCTCGACCGCGCTCGGCGCTGCCCCCTACCCACCCCCCCGCCGTCCCCCCCCCCCTT